TTGCTGCCCTGAAAATCCTCTCTTGCTCTGCCTGTTCATCCGTCCTCCCAAACCCCTGCACTGATCCTTTTAATGCCGCTATCATCTGCTTTTGAGAATGTCGTAAATGCAGCTGGAACTGTATAGCAGATAGCCTTTCCAGTTAGCTCTTTTACTCGGTAATGTGCCCATTTCTTCTTGTCACTTGATAGCTCTTCTGTATATTTTTTTTTTCTTTTTTTTTGTTTTTCTTTTTTTTTGTTTTTCTCCGGTACCGGAACCGAACTCACGACCTTGCGCTTGCCAGGCAGGCGCTTTTGCCGCTGAGCTAAATCCCCAGCCCCCTACTTGTTCACCTCTTGAAAGATACTAGCTCCCAAGGGTCGGCAGTGTGAGTAAAGCCGCTGTAAAAAGCCGCATGGATTTAAGTTTTTATCTTACTTGGATAACTTCCAAGGAGCAGAGCTGCTGGATTACAGAGTGAGGACAGGTCTAGTTTCATAGGAAACTGGCGAGCTCTTTCCACAGTGTCTGTCCACCCACAGTCCACCAGCTGGGACTGAGAGCCCCGGGTCCTCGTCAGCGCCGGGTGTTGTCACTGCTCTCAATTTGGACCTCTTATGGGGGAGATCGCATTTTAACTCACGTTTCCTCAAAACCTTCATCGTCATCCGCGCCCGGGATGGAACCCAGGGCCTCCCGCCTGCTGGGCCAGCACTGTGCCACTGAGCTACATGCCCAGACCTCCCTCAAAACACTTCTGAAACAATGTTTGTGAAACCTACTTAGACTTCCATAAAAGTTACAAGTAGATGTCAGAAAAACTAGTTTACCCCCTGTCTGTATCAACACGGGCTCCATCTTGCTGTCCTCTCTGATCTCCACTTTACCCTGCAATATGTCTATATAGTTTCAGGAACAAAGGCATTTTCTTCCACAACCACAGTGCAATTATCAAACAAGAAATTTAGTGTGATTAGGTCAAGATTTTACGGTGTCCTTTACACCATTCTTGTGTGTGTGTGTGTGTGTGTGCGCGCGCACCTGGATGTAAAGCCCTAAAATGATGCAAAAGAAAAACTCTACTCTTAAGAGTGTCGCTAAGTCACTAGCCCAGGCTGGAGACCTGCCTCAGCCTCCCTGAGTGCCGGGATTACAGGGGTGCACCGCTGTGCCAGCTTAGCGTGCCCACCCTCCTATGTGAGGCCGGAGCCGTTGGTTCCTTCTCCCTGTATTCTGTGCCTGCCTCTGCTCCCTGACCAGCCACAGGCACAAGCGCTGCGGAGGGAGTCTGTCCCCACCTCAGCGTTCTGGGGATGGAACCCAGGGCTTCTTGCCTGCGGCCCCACTGAGCGCTGCCCTCCCCTGCTCCTACTTTTAAACAACAAGATTTTACACAGCAACAACAAAGTTAAGTTTTGCACACGTCCTTTGATGAGCCCCAAGCCTATTGTATGAAAGGAAAGTCCCTTTATGAAGACAAAGCAATCTGGTTTTCTGTTTTTAATTAAATGCAAGACAAAACAACAAATGACTCACTTCCTCTACAAGGCAGCGGCTGCAAAGTAGGTGCTCATTATCCAGATCCTGGGCCAGCTCGCCTCTGCCAGCCCATTTCCGGAGGATGTGTATCTTTCTGCACTTCTGGATTCTTCTGGAACAGTCACCAGCTACCTCGTACTTCCTCGCAGGCCAGGTGTTATGGTGATCACGGTGATATGGGCTGAGACTTTTTTAAAAACAAAGGTCGCTGCAGATTTTCACAGTTATAGTTTGAAGTTCCTGACTTTGGTTTCAAATAAGTAAGAATCTAGCTTTGCTATTAACCAAAAGTTTTAGCTTTATAAAATATTAATGATTTCCTTTCCTTTCAGCCTGTATTTCAAAGGTCTGTACCCATAATTATTTAATATTTTGGAAGAAAGGTTCTGGTCATTTTTTTCTTAAAAAAGAGGGCTTGGTGGGGGATATAGCTCAGTGGCCCAGCACCTGCCTGGCAAGTGCAAGGTCCTGAGTTCATTTTCCAGTACCCAAAAAAGGCTTTCATCATCCATAGGAACTAAGGACCTACAATATATTGAGCCCGGTACTAAAGGTTGGGGACATCAGGATCAAAACTGACAAAAAGAAACTTCTTGGCCTTTGGAACTTACTTCTGATAGGTGTAGACACATTTCTAAGAACCCAGAAAATAGCAAATTACGCAGTTTGTTGCAAGATGCTAAGGCCTGGCAAAGAAATAGATTAAGGGAGAAGGAGAGGACAACAGTGGTAGCAGAGATGGTTGTAATTTTAAATATTTCAGAGGGCTGGCATAGAGCACTTCCCTAGCATGTGAGGCCTTGGGTTCAATCCCCAGTGTGGTTAAAAAAAAAAATTAAAATGTCAAGTCCAACCTCTTGAGAAGGTGAGATTTAAGCAGTTTTTTTTTTTTTTTTTTTTTAAATTGGCAAAGGTAGCAATCATACAGCTTTGCAGGGGGAGGGGCCCTGCAGGAAGACAGCGGCCAGTGCAGTAGATGGTAGGAGACTGGAGTGTACCTGGCCTGTGAAGGAAAAACAGACACCTGGGGTAGGTCGGCGGTGGTAGCAGGGATGTACAGGGCAGTAATGGCGAAACTTTTAGAGCTTCAATGCTTACAAACACCCAGCTCAGGTGGGTGTCAGACTGGGCTGAGAACGGGGCAGGCAGGACCAGGACGTGGACCCACAGCTGGGGTGGTTGTAGGAGACTACAGAAGTCCCCTATTGACTCTTTTTCCCAGTAAAGTAGGAAGGAAGGTCATCCCTTGAGACCCAGGGCTGGGAAGATGATGGAAGGTTAAAAGGAGAGTAAGTCGTAGTCTGGTAATGAACTCAGTCAGTCCGTATGTGGTGGTTTGGATCATTTAGCCACACAGGTGCAAGCCCGGAGAAGGCAGGGTTGCATCAGCCGGGTTTTGGTTTTGCTGAGTAAGACAAAGCTAGACGGGACAGAGGAGGGGAGAAAGCAAGGGCGTGACGGTAGTGACTGGATGTCAGAAGCAGAGCGACAAATTACTCAGCTTCTTTAAAGCTCTCTCCTATCTGAAAATCCTGGAATGCTACTGGGAGGCTTTTTTGTAATATACCTGTTCTGTTAGAACAGGAGCCAGCAGTGAATACGAATTTAAGGAGGGGTTCTCAGATGCCGTTACTCGGGGAACTGCAGGGATACGCAGGCCCGCAGCCCAAACCAGACTATTTGAAGGCGGACACTGACTCTGCAGGCAACTCCAATATGCTGTCTGGGCCCAAATGCTGGCGTTAGGGAGGCGGGGGGAAAAGGGATGGAAAAGGAATGGTACCGACTCACGCAAGGAACTGCTACAGCAAACATATACTAATAAAAGTTAAAAATAAATGAAAGCACCAACAAAAGTGACCTGTAATATAGTGACGTCTCATGAGTCAGGCACTGGGACCATTACTGTCTCATTTAAGTCCCACTCCACTTTAAAGAAGAACTTGTGCCTACAGTCACGAACAGTAAGAGGCAGAGCCAGGTGATCTAGCTGGTCTCCTGGCCAAGCGCTTCCCACTGTGAGCTTGCTATTCCACTGCTAGAACTGCAGCACAATCTGCATTTTACCAAGGTCCGCAGAGACTCATACGTACATTAGTGTGAGAAGCCCTGAGCTACGCCACACTGGCATTCCCTACCACGTCCCACCCTGGAGAAACTCAGACCCAGCTGAGCCATACTGACCCTTAAAATGCCAGTCACTTCTAACTTAAGGCCAGAGATGTAGCTCAGTGACACAGAGCCTGCCTGGCAAGCGCAAGGTCCTGAGTTCGATTCCCAGTACCAAACAAGAACAGCAACAACAACAACAATACAGCACATCTATAACACTTGGTGTTATGGTTGATAGATTGTGTCAACTTGAGGAGTCTGGAGGCTTGGCTGACTCAGCAGTTCTACATCCTGGGGTGAGAAGGACATGCCCTTCCTGCTCTAGGATGTTGTTCATTGTGTCAACTTGAGAAGTTTAGAAGATTAACTAAGTGATTCAGCAGGGGGCCTAGGGCCTTACTTTGTAGAGTTCTCAGCTTGTGGAAGAGGACGGCACCGAGATGGTGTGGGCCTGGGTGGATAGCCGATATACAACAGAAGGCAGGAAACAAGGCTTGCTTCCTGCCCTTTGTGCTCTCGCTGCTTTTGCTGTCTTCTGCCGCCTTAGACTGTTGCCCCTGTGCCCTGCCACCCTGCCTTGGAGCCAGCTGATGATGGACTGAAACCTCCTCAAACTGTGAACTAAATAAACCTTTTCTTCCATAATTTTGCGTGTTGGGTATTTTGTCTCAGCAAGGAGATTAATGTAACCAAGATACTTGGTTAAAGTCAAAATAGTAGAATGATAAGTTTAACTGAATCAGTCCTTTCTGATTTCAAAAAGCTAATGCTAAAAAGGATTATGTGGAAATGTTTTAATTGTGAAATCGCCCTGAAAGTCTTTTAGGATTCCTTTTTAGTTTGTTTTTAATCTAAAACCAATAAACTAGCCAGAGGCTGGGGTGTGGCTCAGTGGCCCAGTATGAAGTGTGCCGTGAACACTACTTGTACAGTGCTTTGTGTCACTCGATCTTCTTGGAATGACTGCTGGATCGTAACAGGGATTCAGGAAAGCTGTCCAAGGTCATGACGAATCATAGCAGTAGCAGGAATGAAACAGTTTCAGAATGCTTATTCACAATATAGAGACCATAGAATATAGGCCAACACTGGAAGTACGGACGAAAGCAGTCTCTCCCCAGGCCCAAGGCAGCACTGTCCTAGGGACCTGGACTCGGGTATTCACTATTGCCGCATGTGGGGACCCCTGGGTCGCTTAGAAGCATTATGCTTGAAAGACTTTGATAAGCTTTTTAGTTTTGTTTTGTTTTGTTTCCCCTGGAGGGGAATCACTATCATGTTGAAATAACCTTTTCCTGAGCAGAAAACCAAAATCATTGTGAACTGTACACATATAATCTTAGCTGAAATAACATCGAAGGCTGAAGGACTGATTTAAGGATGTTTATTTACAAGATACAAATGTTTAATATTTAATAGGAATTAAAGTGCTTAATTTTACAATGTTTTCCATTATCTGCCTTTATGACCAAATATACATATGTTACATAGTATATACACTATCTGCAAGTATTTTACATTCATACAGCTAGGAAAGAGAAATCATTGTGTACACTTTTCACATTAGAGTCGACTCTAAAATTCTGAGAACACGCCTTTTCAAACTTAGTCAACAAATTAAAAACAATACTTATTTTTCAGTATCAGTCAATTGTCACTTACAAGATGAAATGCTAGTCCATTTTTTTAAAGTTTTCTGTATAGATAATGATTGTTTTGCTAATGACAGACAACCCCCCATGACACATTCCAATATCCATATACTATGTAATATATAATTGATTCTGTTATAATGGTTCCCACAGACTACTGTTCCTTCCCGAACCTATAGTTCACTCTATATAGTATTAACTTATTAAAATAGACTACGGTTTCTTGATTTACTTTTTCACCAAACCTACCAAAATGAATCTGAGGCAAAGGGATAAGCTCCATGGAACTCAGCGTCCCCACAGGTTACCTGGGAGAAGCCTTGTGCTGTCTCACCTTGATGCAGGAGACAGTGAGTTCCGCCAAGTGTCCAGCTGACAGAGAGTGTAAGACTGTGACTGACTTGAAGGGTTGTTTCTGATTTCTGTTTCTGTTTGCCTCAGCAAACAGCAGAGAGAATGGTCTAAAGCATGAACTGTTTCTTAAAAGCCCAAAGTAAAACACAATGACAAGATAGTGCAGTCTAACTTAAGAGGCCAAGGTCAGAGGCTGGGCGTGACGGGTCATATCAGCATGCAAGGACAGGGATTGTTTGCACAGCTCATCCTACTTGTGCGGTACTTTCCCGCTAACATCCATGGCTCTGAGCTGGGGAGGAGCAGCCTTCCTCTCCCCTTCTCTCTGTTCATTCGCGCTCATTCAGCTTGTAACTGCATTCCTCTCCACCTGATCTAAAGAAAGCAGACTTAGCTCCCTGTGACAGAACAAGAGGAAGGGCATGTAAAAGGATGAATTATACATTAAAAATTCGTGTGAATAATTTATGTTAAAATACTTAAGTTAAAAAAAGTCTATAAAAATTTCATTCCTATGGAAGGAGAGAATTGAAAAATCAACAATTTTTACATATGTACATACAGGTATAAATTCACAGAAAGTGTTTTTAAATAGACCTAGTGGTCTTTATATAGGTACTCAATTTCTAAATCTAGAGAAGCTATAGTAAGACAGTATGTAGTACAAAAATAAAAAGTGGTTTGATTCTAATAAAACTGGGTAAGGATGTAGAAGTAACACGATCTACTATAGATGTCAACAGAGCCCGAAGAACAGGAACTGGTTAGCCCCGGTTTTTATATTGACACATTCTTGGAAAGTTCAAAATTTTAGAATGAAAACATAAAGACCTTCTTGTCTTTCAGATTTTAGCCGATAAAGTCCATGTGCTTAATCCTTAGACCACTACTATGAATATCATGTCATATATAAATGTTCATAAATTTAGGCTGCATTATAGCAAGGATATTTGCACAAAAAAAATCAGACCTTTGTTTCCTAGAAATCTATTTGCTCCTGACAATGCCATCCCTTCAGATACACACACTGTATAGAAAGGTCATGAGTAGAGATGTATCACAGACACTATGCTCAGAATAACTTAAGGCTCTGGATATAAACAAATGACCTCTAAACTATGAGTGGGGAGAGAAAGCCCCACTGCCTCCACAAAGTAGAAATAAGATAGGAATACAAACTTGCAGAAGTATTTTTGAGAAAAGGTACATTTTGAAGGCATCAGCGGATCTTTAACAACCCTGCAGTACCAGGAAGTTTTAACAGTTTTTTTTATACATCTAACTAGAATAAGTAAACGAAAGCCACAGCAAAAGTTGAAAGGGTAGTTCCCATAAAAATTTTGGTAATTTAAAAAATCTGCCGTAGGTCAGCCAAGCGAGGATAGGTATGCCAACGTATATGCTGACTTAAACTGGATGGACAATAAAGTGAAGCTTACCAGTGCAAGTGTGCTTTATTTTACTAGCCATACCCTTTGTGAAAATAAAAATGCTTCGGACAGTATCTGGATAGGAATGATTCCCCCGTCCCCAGTCCTCTTCCCTGTGTTCAGCAGTATGTATCACCATATCCCTCCTAGGAAGTTAATTCTCTCTATGTTTTCGGGTAGGGACCTCCACGTTAAACTTTCAATACAAAACCACACCAACAAAGTTTCATCGCTTGCATACGTGACGGCACCGGAGACAGCATGATTCCCAAGTGTTTGGTGGCATTTTTCATTATTGAGCTCACTTACCACCACGATATAAAGTCTGCACCCTGTCTCACACGGTACTAAACGGCAGACTTTCAACCAAAACAAAATTTAAGCTTAAAAAACTGAAACGTTTGCTACTGAATAGCAGTTTTATCCAGAGAGTATTTTTAAGCTTGAAGGGCACTTTTAAAAAAAGACTGGGGAAAGCACCAAATCGGAGATATGAACAAATTAAGGCCCAAATACAACGTTGGTTTTGATAGGAAAAAGCAACCAACGATTTGATTTTTTTTTAGGTGCAATTTGTCAGGACAGGTCAGGTACCGCAGAGAGGAAAAACACAGAACCGTGGACCCAGCTGCTCGTTGAGGTACTTTAGCTTACTTGAGTGTTTAATAAGTGACCAGAGCATTCCTTTGCCTTCGTCCAAGTACAACTATTAATGATTATTTAAAAGAGAAATGAGTAAGGCTGCTTCACTGCTCCTCTCTTTGTGCTTGGCTGAAGAAAGGGGGGCAAAAAGGGAAGGCGACTGGCTGGCCAGAAATCTTACTATTTCCCATTCTTAGTAAGTTACTGAACATGAACGTTAAGAGCACGGTCATAAATATTCTCCTTATAATATTCTTTCAACAACCTAAGGTTGAATGTGCCCATGTTACAACTATTCCTGAAGAACTGAGTGGTAGGGAAACTAAAAATTCTTGCTGTTTAAATTGTTTCCAAGGTTTTCAAAAATAATTTGACTCAAAAATCTAATGGTCACATACATCTACTGTTCTATACACAGTTACGAAAGTCCTCATCTGATAAGCATCCTACATTTTTATTGCTTCTCTTTGTTGAAAAGTAGCATTTAGAGCCGTAATTTAACTTTCTCAATGATTACTCTGAACAATTATGTCTGTCAGTGGGCAGCTAGAAGAGAAAGCAATGTAAAATTTCTTTGAGTTTGGCCTGATTTATTTTGGTACTGGGAATTGAACTCAGGACCTTGAACTTGCCAGGCAGAGGTTGTGCCACTGAGCTATCTCCCTGGCCTGGTTTGGCCTGATTTAATAGGGCATAAGAAGCTACCTTTTTTTCTTTTGTTGCTTTAAATACTTGCTTTAATATTAACGGTCCCGCCCCGGTATTCCTGTCATGCAGGAAGGGAAACAATTATCAGCTGCAGCTGGTTCACTTGCTCCTCTGGAATGCAACAAAGTAAGAGCTCCTTACTTCTTAAAGCAACAAGGCCTGAACGCATGTGGGGTGGTCTCAGGCTGAGTCAATCTATTCTCCTTGTAAGATGTAGTCCTTCAAGTCTAAGGATGGCGGGGTCACTTTGGGTTTCTGACTGACTGGTGATAAAAACTAGTAATGAATGGGGTATCAGTGAAGTGGGGAGAATCTAATTTAAGGAAAGGATTAGGTTAAATGATCAATGTGAAATTTGAGCAGTCTTGGTGACAAAGAATCATAATTTGTCAAATTCCAGGAGATGGAAAGGGAAGAACATTCTCACTTTCTTCAATCATTTGTACCTTCAGAAAATCTGCCATTACAATATTGCTTTTTCTCTAATGATTTCCCCTCCCTTTTCTGGTGAGATAGCTGAGCATAAACTTCCTTTACTATCTACCAACCAAACCCTGCTCCCAAGCATAGGTCAGTGTGTGTGAATTTTAATTCATATCTGACAAAAGAATAGGCCCACACAGTTATCTGGAGCATTCATTATAGACAGTCCTTATTTCACCATGCATAACAGTCTTATGAAAAAGGAAAACATTCCAATAAATGCAGGTTCCACACGTCCCAGTCTGTGTATGGTCAGGTGTCTTATAATACAGTTCAAGTTTTGGTAAGATTTTTGTACATGCTGTTAATGTACTGCAACCGTTATATTATTGTAAAGGATAAAATAACCCGTATGCCTTTGACTAATCCAGTGATCAAAATGCATTTTAATTTCAAATAAGACAGAAACGTTAACTGAACCCTCATCCTTATTTTTAAACCGCTATTAATAGCACCTTCTAAGAGAGGCACTGTTTTAAATAGGCACAGAACAAAAAAAATAGTACTCTAAAAATACCGTTGGAATTCACTAATATATCCCATGCCACATAAATTACTTTTTTCTTATTATAAAAATATCAATACCCTTAGATACCAATCCATTAAATGTAAATCATCAAAAACATTTCTTAAGTTTAGAATACTGCTCAGTTCCAAGATAAAAACATGCTTTAAAGTTAAAAATAAATTAGAGATGATGTAAACCTAAAGCTGAAGAGAAAAGCATGTATAGTATATATGTTCATATTTAATTCTATATACAGATAATTGCTATGTACTTTAGATATTGTATTCTTAGGAGTATTTCTACAAAAACAAGTACTTTTTTTAATAAGTCAAAAGTCTAAACACCACAGTTTGTCCTTTTTCTTGTTGTAAAAAGACATCATTTATGCAGCTTGAGGTTTATAAACTAAATAAGTTAATACAATTCCCTAACCTGTCCCTGTATTTTTCACCATTGGATCTATTTTGGCAACATGGAGGTATATCTTTCAAACTGTTACAGGTCCTACATAGGAAGGAGACAATGAAGGATTTCCTTAATGAAAGTGGCCCATTCTACCTGTTAGTGATACAATCGACACCATCTTCTTCAAGACAAAAAGCACACGTTCAAGGAAAAGCTGATTAAAAAATCTCCATTTCTCACATTACTTCAAAACTTTATCAGAATGGCTGTGCACATTCATTTTACCAAGAGTACACAAATATAGGAAATTAATCCCCAGCAGACGCATTCATGATCCTGGATTTTCAACATAAAGTGCTAAGAGATGAGTGAGGAGAGCTGGGAACGTCTCGTGCTGTGTGTCCCGCTTGAGTTCAGCCCTCGGATTTATTCTTAGGTTCGGGGAGATCGTCCAAGCTGGCCAGCGGCTCATCCGGCCCGTCCGGGGTCTCACCTGTGACGGCTAAAAGGATGATTTTCAGCCACTTCTGCTTCAGTTCCTCACTGTCTGCAGCAAAGCTGTGCACAGACTTCGACTGGGTCAGTTTGAAGCTGTGAGGCAGGTCCGCACTCCGTGGCATGTCATCCACAAGGTAGCCCAGCAGCGGGATCGTAGCCTGGGCTCTGACGTCCTACACAGAGAATACTGTGCATCAGAACATGAGCTGTGTCGGCCTCGGACGCGTGGCCCCCGCTCCTACAAAACCTCTCTGCACCCCACTGTGAGCTCCTGGGCAGAGGGTGACGCCAACCCCTGCTCATGTGGCCCACCGTAACGCTGGGTGAAGGGTCGGGGAAGGAGGTCTGAGATCCAGAAGGAGGGGAAGAAAATAACAGCTCAAGTCGGCAATCAGTGCTCGCTTTAGCAGCACATATACTAAAGCCAGGAGGCATTCGTGAGGAGTGCCAGTGATACTTTACTTGGTGATCCATTCATTTATTAACTATTTATGGACAAGGAAAGGGTTAGGAAAAACAAAGTAGAATGAAACGCATAGACCTTGGCAATTTTTGTCTGTTTCGACAATGGTTTTACTACCCTTTAAAGTAGATGTAACAGATGTGTTTAAAATTTTTACTGTTTCTAAGGTGAATGCACACGTGGTTGGAAGGTGGTTTGTTTTTTAAGTGGTGCACACTCGGTGCTAGATCTTCTGGGAAGCTGAGCCTGTGTAACAGGCTGTCCTCACAGATCTACCTTACATGTGCACACAGTTACAGAACTCAAGGCTGACTTAAATCCGCCCATCCACTCAAACTGCTTTCTTTTCAAGTATCTATCGAGCACAAAACAAAACCAAAAAACTGTCCTAATGTGTCCAGCCATTAAGAAAGGTGCTTTAAGGACTCCTCCTCACGCTTCTGTCCTATCTCAACTCACCCTTCCTCAAACCCACTGTAACAGGAATGAGAGAAGAAAGGAAGCAAATGCTTCGCAAAGTAAGTAGTTACGATAAGATCAATTAGTCAGCACATACAATAGACTTTAGTCCTTCTTCTTCAATTTTAATAAGACACCATGACACTGCCTGAGCTCTTTTGTTCTACAAAGGAGCAATGGAAAGCGTTTTATTTTGCTGCCACCAGCCCTCCCCCTGTCCCTGAGGACTATGCCCCTGCAAGCATAAGCCGTTTAGCTACCTGGGGGGCCCCGTACATGTACAGCACAAGAGGGTCTTGCTTGGGGATCACACACCAAGCCTTCTGCCAAGGTTTTGACTTCTCCATGTATTGAAGAAAGCTGCATACCACGCTGTTTCCTGAGACTTCTGCTGATTCAATCTAGAAAAATATAATGAAGAGAGAATAAACACACAACAAACCAGGTAGAGAAGTAAGTCAACTTAAGGAAAGGAGCCCTTAAATACATATAAAGTACAATATAGTTATATAAAATAAATACATTGGATTATGTGACAAAGATTCACTTGTAATTATTGTTTTAAACTGTTACGGTTTAGATCTCAAACATCACCCCTACAGAATTATGTGTTCAGAGATGGGGCCTGGTTGAAGACCTAAAAGGACATATTCTTGTTCTAGGCTCCTCTCAAGCCTCTTCTTCACAGCTGCCATGGGGTGAGCAGCTGTCCTCTGCCACCTGCTCCCACTATGCTGCTTCTGCCTTGGAGCTAAGCTACCATGGACTGAACCCTCCAAAAACTGTGGACTGAAATAAACCTCTCCTTTCAGTTTTGGGTATTGTTATCAGGTATTTTGTCCTGGCAGCAGGTAAGCTGACTAAATTACACTCTTTCACTAACATGGAAAAGTATTTTAAGTTAACTTTATATTACTGGACTTTGAATTTAAGTAGTTAAAACATTTATTGATTGCTAATTACATAAATACTTTTCTTTGCTTCATACATGTATTATTTCATGTAATACACTAACACTGAGAAGTTAACACTATCTCTGAAGCTGAGTTTTTAATAGTTTCCCAACACACATTTTTTAATTTTATGAATAAAACCAATTTTTATAACCAAACAAGAGATTAAACAAGCTATGTATTATCTGCCTGAGCTATAATACACTGCCTGGGCTCTGTATTATCATCAAAGTAGTTATTCAGTACAAGACATAAATCAAAAAGATTCTTACAAAAAGGAACATAACTTTCTTTACAAAAAACTAAGATTAACCAGTATAAATGAAACAAATTAGTATATATATACATAAAACAAACATTATTATATATATATATATAAAACATTATTTCTAAAACAATGAAATCTATAATTTGGGGAATTATTCGAACTTCTCCCTACTTCCTATTTCTCTCTTCAGTTTTGCTGTGTGTGCATGCACGTAGTTTCTCATATAAAAGAAACCACACGGTATTTGAGTTGTGTGTCTGACTTATTTCACTTAACATGTTTTCAAGTTGCATCCATTTACCTACAAATGCCTCAAGTTTATCTTTCTTTATGGCAGAATAGTACTCGATTGTGTATAAATACCACATTTTCCTTATCCATTTGTCTGTTGATGGATATATATGCTATTTCCAAGATCTACTGATTATAAATTGTGTTGCTCTAAACATGGGTATGCATGTACCCCCGTAATATGATGATATTAACTCCTTTGGGAAGACACCTAGGAGGTTAATAGCTGGTTCAAATGGAATTTCTATTTTTAATTTTTTGAGGAATCTCTGCACTGATTTCCATATTGTTGTACTATTTTATATTCCCATCAGCAATGTAGTAGAATTCCATTCCCCCCACATCCTCACCAGCATTTGTTACTATTAGATTTCTTGATGATGGCCATTCTTGTGGGGCAAGACAGTATTTCAGTGTATTTAACTTGGAGTTCTCTGATGGCCAGCGATGATGAACATTTTTTAACGTATCTACTGGTTGTTTGTACTTCTTTTTCTGAAACATGATTGCTCATTCTGGTTACCTGTTTTCTGAGTGGGTCTTTATTTTGGGGGTAGTCTAATTTTTTTGAGTTCTTTATATGTTCTAGATGTTAGTCCTCTGTCTGTAGAATAGCTGGCAAAAATTTTTTTCCCATTCTGTCTCCTAGCTCTGTTGGTTGTTTCCTTTGCTGTGCAGAGCATTTTGCTTCTTCTGTTCTGATCCATTGATCCACATGCCCGTTTTCATGTCACGACCATGCTGTTTTAATCATTGTAGTTTTATAGTATGCAGTAACTTCAAGTCTGGGATTGTGATGCCACCTGCTTTGCTTTTGTTACCTAGGATTGCTTCCGAGTCCATACAAATTTGAGAACTGTTTTCACCAGTTCTGTGGTATTTTGATTGTGATTGCATTAAATCCGTACATCAGTTTTAAAAGTGTAGCCATTCTGATGATGTTGCTTCTCCCTTTCCAGGTTCAGAGGATATTTCCCCATATTTCTATGTCCTCTTCAATTTTCTTTTTCAGTCTGATGTAAATTTCATTGTAGAGGTCTTTTACTTCCTTAGATTAATGTGTTAATTTAATTTTTTTTGATGCCAACGTGAATGGTAGGTACTGTTTCCTAATTGCTTTTTCAGTGAGTTCATTATTAGTGTATAAGAATACTATTGATTTTTGTGTGTTTATTTTGTATCCTGCTACACTGCTGTACTTGGTTATCAATTCTAAGTCTTCAAGTCTTTTGGTGGAGTTTTTGGGTCTTGTAAATAAAGGATCATGCCATCTGCAAATAATGATATTTTGGCTTCGTCCTTGCCTATATGTATCCTTTTTATTTCTTTCTCTTGCCTGATTGAAAAGCATAGTCAGTCTGAATCCAGACTGCACTTTTAACCATAATGCTCACATAATGCAAGAATAAAAAATGCAAAGAAGCAAAAACTGTCTAGCAATGTCCTAGTACCTGAGGATACTTTAAAACATCTTCAATGTAATAAAGGTTTGAAAAACTAACCTTTTGCTTTGCTTCCTAACACATTAATCATAGGCTAAAAGGGAACAAAGCCATCTTACTAAATGACGCTCTTTATTAAGTGGACGAATTATAGAAATTAGCTGGTTTACTTCCGTTTCTCTCTCTGAAGCCCTTAGGTCAGTGTTACACTGCGCTCACGCTGACAGCCCTCACTGCAGTGCACACGGCAGACTTACGTGCTGCCAGGGAACGCGTGCTCAGAATGGCAGTCAACAACTTCTGCGAAGGATCGGAGAGAAAATACTTTATTCTTTGCAGGCCAAGAGACCAACCTCAGGATATAATGTAGGTATACTTAGGTAGTATACTGCAGACCTATTAATAAGAATAGAATTCTTTTGAGGAGGAGATAACATTTTCTCCCCAGAGGGCTGGTTTGCAAACTCCTTTGTTACCAGTGAAGAGCATGGCCTGTTAGGAAACTTATAGCAATCTGCGATAACAGGTGCATGATCGTGTGTTTTTGTGGATCTGTGTGGGGTGGACGGGTGACAGATGCAGCATCACAAGAAGTTAAAGCAGCGTCAGAGGGAAAGGCCTGCCTGTGGCTGAGCTCCAGCCCACCTGTGAGCCAGGAGGAACCTGTGCAGACGAACGTTCACCGTCAGCGTGACAGCAGGGAACACTAACTTTGGACTCCAGTGAAGTGAAATGTTATCTTCCCCTAAAGAATTCCATTCTTCCGATCAGTAGATCCATGTTACAAAAACCTACGCACGAAATAATATTTTTGAATGTTTATCCTAACGATGGCTCAGCAATTGAAAAGATTAAAAATTCAGTATGTTTCAGTGTACTTGCAAAGTTATTTCTGTCAATAAAAATTTGTGGAAATTTGTTTTCTTAACCCGTTCACTACGGGGCCAGACACACAGCTGTTTCATCAGATGGCTTAAAGCAGCTGGCACGGGCCGAGCAGTCCAGATGTGCAGGTAAGTTCGTGTGCACACACGCTTATCGCCTAGCTTGTGGACTTCACATTGTATTTATTTGGTCAAATGAGTTCATCCAATAAGCAACTGATTAATTTTCTCTCAAGTATAAAATTTTCTAGGAAACTAGCCAGGGATTTTTTTTTTTTAAATTTCACACATGCAGCCTGAAGCTTATTCTTAAAATACATTTTCGGACTCACACTCTGCCAGTCACATCAGCTGCTGCTACGACGACTTGTGGCAGAGGCTATGTTCTTGGAGCCAGTGAAGGATGTCTTCCCAGCCAAGCAAGGCAGGGCACACCTGAAGTCCTAGCCCTCTGAGAGGCTACAGCAGAAAGACTGCAATTTCCAGCCCAATTTGGGCAGATCAGTGAGCATTATCTCAAAGTCAAGTTTTAGAAAGGGGCTGGGCCACCACATCTGGCTTAATGGACTTTAAAATGTGAGTGAATCGTTATTTACATGAATCATAATTCACGTGAATCGTAACTCACTAATTCACTTTGCAATCCCAGCACTTTGGGAGGCTGAGGCAGGAGGACAACTACACTGAGACAAACCTGGGCAATTTAGTGAGTTAGTAAGATTCTGTCTCAAAATAAGAATTAAAAACTACTAGAGATTTAGCCTGGCGTGAAGGCCTTGGTTCAACCCCCACAGCGCCCCCATCATTTGGGAAACTTTTCAATAATAATGCTTATTATGTCACTATGGCTATGATGAGCATAATAAACTGAATATGCAGTAAGCTAAAAGAGTATTTCAGGAAATAAAAGGTATTTTAAATTTTAAAAATTTCATGAAGGAGTTTTCAAAGCCAGTATGATGAAATGGAAAGAAAAGCTTTCTAAAGAATATATACTATAATGTGGGCATTGGGAGAGGTGTTATTTGACTATGGCTACTACCACAGAAAAATAAAATCAATGTCTTCTTTAGGGGCTGGGGATTTAGCTCAGCGGCAAAGCACCTGCCTGGCAAGCGCAAGGTCGTGAGTTCGGTTCCCGGTACCAGAGAAAAACCAGAAAAAAAAAGTCTTCTTTAAAAAAAAACAACATATCTCATTCTCAGATGTATGCTAAACACACCAGCCACCCTGTCCACCCAACCAAGAAGGACCCTCAGAAGAGCAAAACAGAATAAAAAAAGTATTCTTGATCATGGTTACTCAACTGTTAAACACTAAGAGGAAGGAAGTACATTACTTGTGCTCTTCATAGTTAGGACAGTAAAAGTCTACCCCACGCCCGGGACGTCGCACCTCTAAGATGCCTCTCCGCCGCTTCTCCTCGCTGTCCGCGAAGCCGCTGATGATCTGGTAGCAGTCCCTGCACACCTTGCTCCACTTCCCACCGTCGTACTCCAGCTGAGCTTTGTAGTCCGAACACTTCCAACAAACCACCTGATGGGTAGAAAGGGAAAGAATGAAAATCGCATTCAAACACTTAAGCAAGGTTTCATTCTAGGCAATAATGACAAAAAGTTAAACGGCAAAGTTCATTTTACTGGACTAAGGGCATCCCCACTGAACACACGAGGGCTGCCCGAGGGTGCCGTGATGCTGGCGATGACCAGCCCCTCATCCCACCCCCAGCTTCTCACAGGCCCAGGCCAGACTCCGTTCTTCTGGTGCTCCATCAGTGTCCTTCCGAAATGGAACTCCAGGTGTTCCCTGCCCCCAGCTCCACCCCACCCGTCCTCCCGTCCGGCCTTCCCTCCAGCCGTCCCTCGGCTGGGGCCGGACGGCATAGCCACCGACGCAGTCAAGGCAAGAAGGAACCATGGGAACCGCTCCAGCACTCCCTACCCCAATCCGCTGGCTCACTGTTTATGTTAAGCTTCGCTGACCCAACCTCCTACGTATCCCGTCCGTCAGTCTGTCTAGGTCTTCACTGTCATCACCCAAGTCTATCGGCGCTCCAGCTGGGCCTCGGCGCATTCCTGCTGGCTGCCAGCCCTGCGCTCTTCCACCCCACTCCAAGCTCATTTTCACACAGGGACCGGATACTCTCCTAAAAATGCTGGTCTGATCTGTGCCTCCTCTGTTGAAAATCCTTCAGTCTTCTGCAGCCCCTGATTAAAGAACACATTGCTAATCACGGCCCAGAGTGCCGCACAATGGTTCCCTCTTTTCCCCTGGCTCTGAATCTTCAGTGGCGGCTTCTAACCGCCCTTGAAATGCCACAGACCCTTCCTCTCTCCTCGGCCTGAGCTCGCTCATCCTTCCGTGCTGGCTTGGCTTCACTCCCTCCAGGAGAATGCCCCATCTTCCAGAACGGCGCACGACGCCTGTCCCTGTACTAGCAACGTTCCCTGTATTTTTATCTGTGGCACTGACTACAGTTTTTAATTATGTTCTTGTGTGATTATTTCACTGTTTGTCTCCTTTATTAGGCTATAAAACACCAGCAGAGATTGTCCTTGGCTATTTTGCTTACCAGGCACATAATGCACATTGATAGAACGCCACGAATGAGCAGTTGTGTCAAGCAAACTCACAGAGTGAAGCTTTTTAAATTTACTAAAGATCTTTGCTGTCAATTTAATTTTGATTACACAGCTGCCACAGTAAGTAAAATGTCAGTCTTAAAACAAGAAGAGGCGGGTGTCGTGGTGCACATCTGTAATCCCAGCACTCTGGAGGCCTGAGACAGCAAGATCCCAAGTTCCAGTCCAGTCCAGCCCAGCCCAGCCTGGGTGAGACCCTGTCTCAAGAATGAAAAAGAAAGGTCTAAAGATATAGCTCTGTGCAAAGCCTTGAGCTCAATCCCACTTCAAGGAAGAAATAAAAAAGGCGAAGAATAAATTTGCAGTATAAAAATTGTTTGCCCAGGTGTGATGGCGCACACCTGCAATCCCAGCACTTGGGAGGCTGAGGCAGGAGGGTAAGTGCTTGACGGCCAGCCTGGACTACAGAGTGAGACCCTGTCTCAAAAACCAAACAAAAAAGCATAGGAATAATACATTAGATGATGACCCTGAACTGCCCTCCCCATGCTCACTCTTTCTTAAGAGAAGTTATACAGCTCCCCCAATCACTGCTGCCTCTCTGCTCCTTCAAGTTTTGTTTCTCTTCACTCTCCCTGAGGCGCAGCTTGACGGCTGATCAAACTGCACGTAAGCTGTTTCCGCGTAGCATCATTATTTTCCATACAGTGATATACTTACTAGTTATTGGTAATCAGAAATAAGTTTTTAGATAAGTAACTTAAAATCCTATAAACAGCCAAGGAGCACAAAAATATCTTAAGAACTTGTAAGTTTTAAGAACTTCCGGAGGATATAGAAAAACTGGAAAAAGTCATAAAATGGAGCAGCCATTATCAGTACATTTTTGGCGAGGATAGCTACTCAGAGGATCTTTCTGCCGTAATATACAACTATATCCTGGACGCTAAGCAAACGTAACTGTAATGTTTTCTTTACAGTAAAAAGAACTCCCACACCCTCAGGAAACAGCCCAGTGAATAAACAAAAGAAAAATAATGAGCGGGCAGTGCAATAGCAGCAAACAGAAAAAACTCAAAGTTTAGGTCTGCAGATAGCGCTTGTGGCTCAGGGGACAGGAGGAGGGGAAGCTGTGCTCTCAAGGTCATTATGTTAAACTTGGAAAGGAGGACAATTAAGAATTCATAATTAGAAGAGACAAAGTGCATCAGAATAAGCCACCTTGAACTAGGATGATCAGAAATTACTACTAACAGATGCTGAGTAATTTCTTGACCTACCGGTATTACTAGATAGAAATTCCATAATTAGGTAAGAAATGTTTGAAAAAACAGTGGCAAATAACAAACACTTCTAAAAATTAACAGGCAGACTTAGAAGAAACTTTTGGTAAAATCAAACTGAAATTAAAAATGCGAGAAATGCACAGGACAGCAGATTAGCTACAACTGAGGAGAATAAAATAGATGAAAAGCAATGAAATTATTTTTCTATCTTTTATGTCAGCTAACGACTCACTGCCGTTTACTCAGCCGTGCAAACCTTCTCAGGAGTTGTTTTTGACCCCTTGTCTTTCTCAGCTCTGAATCAGCTCCCTGCCACGCTCAGTCAGAGGTCGTTGTCCTCGCGGAGCACATTTGGCTCTCGATGGCCCGGCCTCTGCCTCTCCGGCCCCAGCGCTTGCTGGTCTCTGCCTTGCACCTGTCCACCTAGATCTGCAGGTCACCTCGGGTCCAATGGGGGTCATGGTGGCCGTCACCCCTTAAGCCACCTGCTATCATTCAGGCCAAGGCGATTGGTCTGGTGGCCGCTGCGCCTCTCAGAGGCCAAGAGAATTAGCACTATCACGACTCAGCGTCCCGAAGAAGGCCCTCTGGTGCTTGGCTGGGCTCATGCTGCACACACGGCGCTGTGTACAACCCAGTGCAGCCCCCACTTCCGCTCCCCCTGCAAGCCTGCTCCCGGGGCCCTCTGCTGCTTTTCCTCTCACCTCACTGCCTGCCGCGCCTCAGACCCTCAGCGCCGAGAGCTGCGCTTTGTACCCTTTGAGGCCCACTACTGCCTGGCTCTGTCCACCTCCCGCACGGAGCTTTCCACCCCTCAGCATCTACTGCACTCCAACCCCACGGACCTGGAATTTACAGCGCATGGATCGCCACTCTACTGCAATGCCCGGCGACTCCCGGTCACCCGCGCCTCACCCGCCCCCTCTGACCCGCAAGTCCCCGCTGCCAGCACCGTTCTCTGGCAGTCCACTCAGCTGTCCGTTCTCGTGGGCACCCACTGGACGGCGTCCTCGCCAGAGACTGAGCCACACGGACACGCCAAGTTCAGACGACCCAGTCTTTCACCACCCCTCATGTTTCTGGCTTGCTGGCCTGCAGCAGTCCACCGCCATGCAGCTCTGAAGGCCCGCGAACGCTCTGGCCACGGCACCTCCTCGCTGCCATCGGCCCTCCCTGCCTTCGGTATGGAGTCTAGACTTCCCTTACCATGACTGACTCTCGCATGCACCTCTCTCCTGGTTTTTCTCACTGTCCGGGCTCCGGATGAAGCCCGTCACCTGCCTTTGGTGGCCTGCGTCACCGCAACACGTCAGAGAAAAATGACGGCCCTTTACGTTTATAACCACACTTTGACTGGGGTCACTATTCATGGGCCAGAGAAGACTTTCTTGATTCTCTCCACCACCCCTTTCCTTCCTCCTCTACTTTCAGCTCAAACCGCCTCATCCTTAAATGAAAATATAATATGGAACCTAAATTCCCTCATTTCCCGTCATGAAAGCAAACAAAACAAAACAACACCCAACCCATCTCCTGTACGTGTGCACCCGTCTTTCCCCCTCCTGCTATAATGGAGCGGGTTCCCTTCTCCCCACCAAAAAGCAGAGCCTCCTCCTCCACTGGTAGGTACTGCGGCTTCCATGTCTTTTTGTCTTCGCGAAGATGTGAGCTCCCTCTGGGAGCCTGAGGTAAGAAGATCTAAGTTCCAGCGCAGCCTGTGCAACTTAGCCAAGACCTTGACTTAAAATACAAAGGGGCTGGGGTGCACACACCAGCTCCTCTGGGCGTTATCTCCCTGTTTCTTGTATAAAGAAACACACGTTCCCTTAGCACAGCGCCCTCCAGCCACGCGAGTTTCTGGCAATCTCTACCGGAACAGGTGCTGCGCTGCAGGCCTTAGCCACAGACCCGGCATCTGTGGTGCTCTTCCCCGCCTCTCCTCAAGGTCAGGCTCCTCACCCTTGGGCAGCAGCACAAATAGCAAGCCCTCCGAGAATTCTCTGTCCTAATTAACACTGGTTCCAGTTCCTCCTCTGGGACCACTACCCTGTGTGAACTTCCTGATCGCTTTCTCAGCCCATCAATAGTTAATGTGAAATTCTCATGTGTCTCTCTCCTCCGTTACAACGGGAGCTGTGGAGCCAGGGACCCCTCAGTGCGCTTTTTCCGTCGCACTCACGTGTCCACATGCTCGGCAGTGGTGCCGCCTCCTAGTCAGCGCGTTGAAGGACTCTCTGCACTTCATACACATGGTCACCTCGTTGTCGCGGATCCACCGCGGGGCTCTCTTCCCCAGCTCGGCCGTCTAGAAAGCAAAGAAATTTAACTCTAATGGAAACCCCCCCAGAGATCCCATTATTAGTTCTTTAAAAGCACTGTCACTACATTGTGTAAGCCATGTTCTGAAAGTCCAGAACCAGGAGAAGAAATAAAAATTTCTAAAAGCTTGAAGAAGCATGACAGAGGTACTCACTTCTGTATGCATCTCAGGAGGAGTGAGATTCCGCCTGAGCAGTTCTGGCGTTGCAAAGGGGAAAGGCTAGCTAATTAAGCGATTAGACAGGTCTTCCGCAAATGTAAGGAGATAAAAGAGCTTAAAGGTAAGAATTTAATCCAACTTACAGAAACCTCGGAGTGAATGTCATTATCCTTTGCAATCGCATTTCTGAAAGTTTCATGCCTTTGATGAAAAGCATCAATCGTCTCTTGAAGGGCCTAAAATAGAAATGAAATTCAAAGCGCACGTTGAAGTATCACATGAAGATCAATGGACAGACTTTATTAAACAAATATCTACGACGGGAATTGTCTTTAAAATGAAACAAACTTGTCCTGCTGACTACATATTTAACAGAAGGATATGTGAAACTCATGTATGCAGACAGGGGTCACCAATAAGCCAAAAGCAGAAGCCAGGCTTACCTTGATCCATTCTTCTTTGTCTTGCTCAGAACTAAAACAAACAAAATTAAAGTAAATGCAGTGAACATTAATGAGTTACACCGAGTGAATAAAACTATGCGTTAATGCTGTTCCTACTTCCTAGAAAATCCAGGCAGGGGTGTCCTGGACGGCAATAAAAATTAAACAGAATCTCTGGCAACTGAATAAATCAATTCTTCTTAAACACAGTATCAGGCAGTCTAGTGACTTCGGTACCTATATATTTTGATGGGGAGAGTTCCTTTAGCTTCCACCGCTACAGTGCTATAGTAACTTTAGCAACCACCAGGCTGTCCTGTCTATCAAGTGACTACGTATACCTAACATAATCACCACTGCTTGCCTTTCAATTCTCTAAAGCACACGAAGGCTTTTAAAGCCTGTTAGTCATAGCCCGTCTTAGAAAAAAATTACCTATCTTTGAGAATCTAGAATATCTTCATAAGGCCTTGGAGAGCTACTTAACATTTCCTTTGGGAAACAATTTAACTTTATTTGCCTATTGCTAGGCAGTTTCTGGCCATCTCATACCTAACTCACGATGGGTAAAACAGCACACACAGGGTAAGCATTTTCAAAGTCTGCAGGAAGAAGATTTCACAGATTAATAGACTCCAGGGTTTCATAATTTTCCTTAAGGAGAAAATTTCCTTGACTGTAGACAAGTTTCCCTTTTGCAGTTCAGGCAAATTTGCTTAATTTCTGCTCCTTTGCAAGAAGTGTGTAGCTGGCTCGTGTTATACAGTATATTTGAAAGCAGACTCTGAACTGGGTAACAACTCTGAATGCTGAGTGGTATCAAAGAATGGCTTTGCTTGCTGTGGTCGGGAGGATACAGCCAAGTGTGACTTCCAACATGAACGTCACCTGCCTCATTCCACAGGGAAAAACATGCACGAGACAGCCGCAGGCCTGTCTCCGTGGCGTAACAGAGTACGACAGCACGCCTGGAACAAGTGTGTCACAAGGAAGTCTGCTCACTGCCCACCTAGGGCCTTCAAATCTACCCCTCAAAACAAAGCCAGCGACTACAAAAGCCAGCTTCCCTCCTGCTCTCCCATGCCCCGCAGCACTGCTGCCTGGAAGGAGGGTTACTTGTTAACCGCGTTGAGTCTTTTACACAAGACACAGAGCTGGACAACTCTTCATAAAGCCTTTTGTCTTAGTCTTTTCGTGATGGTAGGTTTTCCTGTCAGAGCCTCCAGCATAACATCCCACATTCATCGTCTGGGATCTGAATGACTGGGCCCTAAATCCTGCCATGGGGTAGAATAAACATCCCCTTCAAATATCCCCTCTGCCTTTAACTCTCGCTTGAAATGCTAACTGCTCCTCTTCAGAGCAATTTCCGGTAATGGGGGAAAGGAGCGTTTCAGTAGACGCTCTCTGTGAGAAATCGAAGAACTGGCTTTCCTCAAGCTTCTTCAGTCTGCCATCGCCTCCCCCAAACTGTAACTGTACCCACGCAGATTCCTGGGCATAGACTCCTGATAAAATTATTGATTCTATGGTGAAAGTCTGAACACAAAGGTCTCAGGCAGTGACACCGTACAAATATCCGGGATGAATTCATCCGCGCAACCAGAACCTCGTGCCCTGGGGCAAAGGAACAGGAAGCTCTCGGACCTTGCAGCAGTGCCAGGGCAGTGACACCTCTAGAGCTGGAACTAGTACTTTATCACCATCAGATCTCAGACCTTCAGGATTCAGATTTTCATGATGCCAGGCCTCTGCAGGCTCCATGCACGGCTGTTTTCTAGAGCAGATCATTTCAATCCCTGACAGCACTTTGTCTTCCAGAAGTCTGCGCCCAAGGAAGCCAGCCACAATGTGCACTGCTACGCAGCTTCCACCCCTCCCCCAGGCACAGCTACGCTGGGAGAAGAGCAATGCGTGTGCCCAGCCCTTCTCGCCATGCAGTGCAGCACGCAGACGCCATCTTCCAGAGGTCCTCCGCCACAGGCCACCACAGCAGGTAGCTCCTTCACGAATCCTGCCACCATGGCCCGAGAGCCACTGCCCTGACCACCCTAGCAGAGGCTTTTGTCCCTGGAAGCTCTCCCAGCCCCGGGAATGCAGCACCTCTGAAGGACTCAGTTTACTATAGATTACTCATCAAATAAACATTTGTGGACCAAAGAGGGGAATAGAAGGAGGAAGGGCGGAGCGAAACCTTCATCCTACAAGCCTCAAGATTCTAACTTGATCGTAACCACTGTCCCGGGAGTACTTCATCACTCTCCGGGAGCCCGTCAGCTGACAGTGCCAAGTATCTGCAGACCACCGCCCTGGGCGCTGCGGAGGAGCCGGAGAAGACGACCACAAGGCGGCATCTGCCTCTCAAGCACTCCCCTCTCCCCATTTGCACCCCAGCAGATTCCCAGAGGTCGGCGGTAGTAGCTCAGCAGAAACCCTGCCCTGCTACTTGCTTGCATAGCTCAGGAAGCGGTGTGACGGGGAGGTTCTCGTACCTGGCCTGCAGTTCCAGCGTTCGCTCTTTCCCAGACACCTGGAAAGTATGCGGATATTCTTCATTGTGAGTCTCCACGATTTTCATTCCGTCAATTCCAACCCTGTTCCGCACCGTGAACTTCGAGCCCACCAAGCTGAATCTGGGCACACAGTACAGCAGCATGTTGTTGAACTGCAAGGAGGTGAAACGTGTCAGTGAACAGGAAAACGAAGACAAGAAAAATCCGACCAATATTACGAGTAGCCCTGGAAAGTCTATCGAATTTCCAAGGAATGTGGTACTTCCCGCGGAATCAAAAGTTACTACCACCCTGACATTTTACACCAGTATTAAAAATCATTATAGGCTCAAAATTTTTAAAATATATTTTCCTTTCAGGGCTCAAATAGGCCATCAATATTTACGTACGGCAATTGCTTTTTTATATCAATGCCTCACCAGCAATGTGGTGACAATAAATTTGGTCACAATTTGCTGAGGACCTTTGATGTACTGGCAATTGAAGTCACTGTGTGTGTGTGTGTGTGTGTGTGTGTGTGTGTGTTACTGGGGACTGAACACATGGTCTCACGTTAAGTAGGATTTCAGCTGAGTACTATTTATCAGTGCAGGTGCAGAGGCCAGACTCTAAATGCAGTCAGTCCCCCATGGACACATGGACACATGGACACACACACACACACACACACACACACACACACACAGAGCTGTATAAACCCTCACTCTGAAGGATCATCTGCAAATGTCACAGGATGCAGAGAAGACTAAACCGGGCATCAAAAGCGAAGTGTTTAGAACAGCGCTTTTCACATACAAAGTGCTTCAATTCAACAAGCTGTCTTTATTTATGCTCTTTGGGGGTTTGGTTCTAGGTCTTCCCTGCCAGGCCCTCTGCTCAGCTCCACGCTCTTTCAAGACAGTAAGCGTCAACGGCGATGTAAACATCCCAGCACACTGATGTGGCTCGGCCCAGCGTACTCGTGCTGAAAGCGTATTTCTCCCCAGCTGGTTCTCACTCATCCTTTCGTAACTTCCTGTAGCCTCTGACATGTACTTCCGTTCCACATTGGACAATATAGAAACGAAGGAGCACTGAATAAAATTTTAAAAGTGTCTCGGATCACAGAGTGACGTTTCTGGGAGAGGACCACGGCCTTTCACTGGCCACCCTGTCCTGAGAATGGCAGCCACAGCCTCGTCGTAGTACGCAAGATCCAAAAGAGCTCCCCAAGGCTCCCATCCCTCAGAGCTCGCCCACGGCACCGTGTCGCTCACTTCTTCCCTCCTCCTTCCGGGCCTCTTGAGGCGGTGACTTGGTCTGCACGGCGCACACTGCAGGGGCTGCAGAGCCACCACAAGAACAGAGCTCGCGCTCTGAAGCCATCGACAGTACCAACTTGCTCTTGCACACAAGGGACAAGTGCAGTGTCTGCGTCTTCTGATCCTTCTGCTCGGTCTTGTTACCTTACAGATGTGTGAGTACATCACCTTTGCCTTCCGTAGTTACGTGCACAGAAGATGAAAGAATGCCCTGTAATGTGTGTTTCTCTTTCCTCCCTTTCCTGCTTTCAGGACTACATCCCACCTGTTTTATTCTTCCTTGGTGGGACTCGTGGTCTAAGCTGTGAGTCATTACATACTTATCTTAAAGAATCCAGACTGCAATCTGGTGCCGGTCAGTACGGATCTTTTCTCATCTTCAGAGTTGAAAGTGAGAGCTCTTACACTATCGAAAATATTGCTTACAAAGAACAAGACTATGTAAAAAAAATACAGAACAGGTAGCTGATACTGTTCCTTCGGAGAAACTTTCTCCTGTAGCAAAAGTCACCATCACCTTCACAGAGAGTTTTCCTCATCTCTGGATTTCCTTTAATACTGAAAGAAGTTATTCTACATGTGGGACCAAGTGTGTCCACTTTCTCTTTCGCTGTAGGAGATCCCTTTTCTTCCACGCCCATAGCTCAGGAGTGGTGCCTGACCAAGCAATCTCCTACTGCAAGGAAACCTCTCCAAGTTCTAGGTCATGACAGGATCTAGAAAGAAATCTCAATCTTATACTGATAATTACATGAACATTTCAGAAGGCAACAGTACATTTCTGGAGGAAATTTACAGCACCTAGCATGTGTTCAAAGTTCAGAGAAGTCAGAGAAAAAGTGAATCTTTCAGGCTACAAGAAAATAAAGAACAGAGCTACCAAAAAAGATCCCCAATAAAAACTCCTCAGCCATTCTGTGGGATAATTTAGTGTGTGTGTGTTTTTTTAAACCTTCAAATGCCAATATGGTGATTTAGTCAACAGAGAGCCCTGAATTAACATAAAGTGAAACAGTACCGTGTGAAGGCAAACAGATATGCAAACACGGGAAAATCATTTAAATGTAAAATTAGATGCTAAATATAATTTGGCTTTTCAGAGTAGGAAGTAGAAAACCAGCCCTCATTTTCTCCCTAGAGAGAAAAAAAAAGTGGTATTTGTGCAGTTGCTACATAGAGAAGGATGTGGTGCTTCAAGGGTAAACATGACAAGCAGGCTCGGTGAGGGAGGTGAAGTGGATGAGCGCTACCCTAGCCTGCTCCCAAGGCAGCTCTGAAGCGGCAATGCGGTGTTCCTAGCATGGACCCCACTCCGGGAGGCACAGGGGTGACAGGTCTGAGAGCTGCTGGTACGGGAACCCGAACAAGATGGAGCTCGCTCTCAGGGTCCCTCGGTGCTGTGTTCCCCGAAGGCTCTCCTCCAAGTGCCGGCTTGCTTAACGTACTCAATCTAAAATTATTTCCACTATAATTCTCTTGCTTCGTCACACAAGTTGGTTTTGAACCTAAGACATTCATTCCGAGCTATGATCCCAACCCGTTTAAATTTTGAGACAGGGCCTCACAAAATTGCCCGGGCTGGGTTAGAACTTGCAGTGCTCCTACCTCAGTCTCCCAAGTGCTGGGGTTACACAAGTGCCCCACCATGCGCTCTCAGAACTAAAAGTTGAACTAGAGACTCGAACACTAATGAGGAAGAAGAAAAAGGAAAAGGGCCCAAGCACGTATGATATAGACAGAGGACAGACGTGGATTCCCAGCGATGTGGGCAGGAACAACGCGTTAAGGATGGTTTCTTTACTCTGTATCTTTGAAGTTTTGACATCTTCAGGCCTTGCTGACACTGACGGGATGGACACTTCCAGGGCTGTTCAATTCCTTGAGATGCTAAATGACTCACTTGGGAGCAGCCCTCCTTACAGAAGCCACCCAACCCAGGGCCAACTGCCTCCACCTCTCCCTCAGTGGAGCTGGGCCACTGCACCCCTCCCTTGTCACCCGAGGCCAGTCAGGGAGCAGCCCTAAGCCCGTGTCCTATGCCTTTACTCTGCCTCGCTGAAAGGGCAGAACTCGAACTCCTGATGTGATTTCAGCATATCTTTGTTTTCTGTTCTCTTCAGCTCAGATGAGGATTTTCTGAATTAACTCGGACAATGCGTATATAGTTCACTCTGGTGGGGTGCTGGGGATTGAACCCAGGGTCTTCGCACTGAGCCATACCCCAAGCCTTTTCCAATTTTTTATTTTGAGATAGGATCTCTCTGAGTCACTAAATTGCCCTAGCTGGGCTCAAACTTGCGATCCTCTTGCCTCAGCCTCTCAGAGTGCTAGGATTACAAGTGTAAGCCACGCTCAGCTACAAAACCTTACGGCCATTTCCCTCTCCCCATCGACCCTGGAAAACAGTAGTTACACCCCGTCCCTGATATGCACTTTCTGGACACGTCATACACATACCTCGGTTCACGAACTCAGTTTCCCCCACGACTCTGGCTGCAAACCGCATTGGACAGGAACTGAACCAAATTTAAGGTCAACACTGAACTTGCGACCGGAATCACAGAAAGAATAGTTAATGAACTGAGGCACCGGCTGGACCATACAGGACATGGCCTTTTGGTGACTGGCTTCTTTCCGTGGTGACATGTTTTCAACGTGCATTTTAACCCATGCAGTGCATCCGCATCTTCCTTTTTGTTGACACACAATATTCCACTCCATGGAATATACCACGTTTTGTTTATGCATTCACCAGCTGGTAGACATATAGGCTGTTGGCATACTACTTGTATGCCATTTTCTGGTTATTACAAATAATTCTACTACAGAACATCAATATACAAAGTTTCTGTTGATATATGTATTTTCAGTTTTTTTGAGTCAAACAAAATGCAACTGCTGGGTCACATGGTAACCAAATGTTCTTTTTTTTTTTGTCTTTTTGAGACAGGGTCTCGCTATGTAGTTCAGGCTGGCCTTGAGCTCACTTTGTAGCCAAGGCTGGTCTCAAACGTGCAGTGATCCTCCTGCCTCAGCCTCCCGAGTGCTGGGATTACAGGTGCGCGCCATCACACCCGGCAAAATGTTCTTTTTCAAAAATGACTGAGATACTGAGCATTTGTCCTCTTGACCATTATTTCCTATAATACGGTTTCCTTTCAAAGAAGGCTCGCAACAGCCGACAGCAACTCCTCAGGCCCCAAGGACAGTTCTTGTTACAGCCCATAAATGCCTCCCTGGCCCTGGCCACAACGAAGTCGATCCCTAGGCAGCACTGTGACCTCCGCATCTCTGTTTCGTGGCCGTTAGTAACAATCCTAGTAACAGCTAACCTCTGTGACACTTCCTGCAGTAGCCTACTGTCCGCCAGCACTAGCCACTATTACAACCTTATCACTGTACTGGATAGAAAAAGGAGTTAGGATGAATTAGCATAACAAAAATAAAGGTCACGTGGACAGAGCTTAAAAAATAAGGGTCCAGAGCCCTAGGAAGCGCTCTTACAATGAGATAAGCCCCAGGCTGACTGTTCTTTCCCCGAGTGAAGGAAGGGACGAGGGTCCGCAGCCGTGAAAAGGGGCTGCACGGCAAACTCATGTCCTTTCCCTGCAGATACTTCAGACCCAGGTCTTATGATCGTGCCTGTTGGTTTTTAACATTAGAATGACGAAAAATAGTGATTACAGGGGAGTAGGAAAACTGCTGCCAGGAAGTAGTATGCCAACAAGACAGCCAGCAAATGGTACTCACTCACTGGTCTGTGAAGACAGAAAGAAGAGAGAAAACTGGAAACAACAGGATTTCAGAAAGTGCATCACACCCACATACACACGCTCAGGTCACAGAAACTTAACCTGTCTTCAGTATGCTCTACTGAGCCAAACCACGCCCTTGCAGTAACTTCCAGTTACTTCCAATGCTGTTGCATGTGGAATCCTGCTAGCCAGTGTTGGCTAAGCAAGGTTAGAGGAAATGACCGCGGGGAACGAGCAAGCATTCTACTTTTCCAAGATGCACACAGGAATTTTAGTAAACAAGTCCTAGGCAACCCTGACGCGACTATGACACTCGTACTCACCAAGAAAAGGTAGCGTTCTTGTGCCGATGTGTTGCGAGCAGCTAGTTTGAGTATCTGTCCTTCTTTTATGAGTTCATTTGAAGGATTTACAATGTCTTCTTCTTCTCCTAACATTTCATAAATCTCTAAGAGTTTCTTTAGGTTTTCCTGGGAGATGAAAACAAAACACCAAGACCAAATGTGTGCATGGCAGTTTCAACTTAATGACCTAAGTTGTATGATGACCTTAGCTAAAATCTAGGTCATTTAGAGAGGACTAGGAATACGCACACCTTTGGGTACAGAAGACGTCAGTCAACTGAACCCCAAGAGAAAAGGGGGGGAGGTTACTCCAGACAACACTAGACATTGTAAGCACTCTTTTCTGTGGACCTATTTCCATTTACTTTGGTCCAGACCTACAGAGGGCATTCGGTTGTCACCGACAATGTCTAACCTGAAGGCTTCTCGCTCTAGAGACCACTTACCATTTTTCTTATTGCACTATTAGAATGACTTGCTGCTGTAGATATAATTTCAAGTGATTCTAAATGGGAAAAAAAGAAAAGTAAATAAATATGCTTTGTTCTTCCTGTTCCGCTAGGTAACTGAGTAATTTACATACTGAAATAAGAAATCCGAGACCAAAGACACATAAAAGTAGCAGCAATTTCCATTTACGAACTAAACACTTTCCAAAGTTCATTTGTAAGCAGATGACTTGAACTCGAAGGGTATTTCCTTATTTTAAAAAGGCACATACAATGATTACCCTCACAAGTATATTTAATTCATAACAGACCTTGGAAATCAATAAATACTTATGGCCCACTAGGTACAAGGTACCTTGCCAGGTGCTTCTATATGTACAGTAGTCCCTGCTGATTTGCCATTTTGCTGTGGTCTGAAAATATTATATAGGAATTCCAGAAATAAGTAATTCATAAGTTTTAATATAGTACACCATTATGATTGTTCTAGTTCATTATTAGACCATCTCGGGGCTGGGGATTTAGTTCAGCGGCAAAGTGCCTGCCTGGCAAGTGCAAGGTTGTGAGTTCGGTTCCCGGTACCGGAGAAAAACCAAAAAAAAAAAAAAAAACAACAACAACAACAAAAAACATTATTAGACCATCTCTTATTGTACCTAAATTATAAATTAAGCTTTATCATAGGTACGTATGGTGGGGAAAAAAACCCTCCAGTACTATACACAACATGTAAGGGAGGTTCAGTACTATCTGCAGCTCCAGGCATCCATGGGGCATCTTGGAAGGTATCCCCTGCAGTTAAAGGGGGATATTAGATATCAATTCTTATATACCTTTGAACTGTAAGTATGTGAACTGCATTTTGTAGGTGAAAGAAATGACGTATTGGGACTTGGTTAAGGTCACTCAGCTGTGGTGCTGCAGGGAGGGACCCGCACCCTCTGATGAAAACCTCTACAACAGTTCAGCAGTAGTACTTCACTAGTTTTATGAGCAAATTAGCCCACTAAGCAAAAACCAACGTTCTTTGGGAAAATGTGCTCACGGATCCAGCCTGGGCCAGTGAAAGGGAATCTTCCAATGCTGGTGTTAGCGGGTTTTGTTGCTGGGACAAGCGTGGGTGAGAATGGGGACCGGGGACTCTCGGAGTGGCCACGGGGGGCGCTCCAGGGGCTGTTACCGAAGAGCCGTGGAAGCCAAGGGCTGCCGCCGGAGCAACCCCAGGGAATCCCTCTCGGCCCTAAATCATGTCCTACTTCTCCCTTCTCTTCTGTCCTGTGAACCGGCCTCAGCTCTGTTACCACAACAACCTAGTTCCTTCGGGACTACGATTTCTGTCGTCTTTGCACTGCTGAACAGAAGGCGCTTTTGTTGCTTCCCTTTCTGTTTGGGCCTCTCAAAGCCCTGTTTTCGGGATTTCCTTAGAATTTTAAGTAGCACTGGGAAGTCAAGAAGAGCAACACAAAGCTCTACTATGCCAATTTTCTTGTTTTTAATATAGATATCTTAGGGAAATGCAAAGTCTTTGAATATGAAAAACGGTGCATTTTTATCTAGATGATGGAGAACTATTCAGATTTGGGCAATTTTGTGCATCTGACACAGGATCCAGGACGAGGAAGAGAAAGTAAGATGGGCCGGGGCCACCACTCGGGGGGAGTCTAAGGAAGAGCAGAGGATTCACCTTCAAACGCCACTATCACTACCGTTGAAACTCAGCACTCAGGCCACCCGGGGAAAGGGGCAAAATTCTCAGGAAGTAGCAGGCCGGGGAAAATGCCAAGTCCAGCTCATGCTAACCTGCAGAAAGGGCGGAAAGGGGAAAGTTCCTGCGGCCACAGAGTCACTGGCACCGTGGGAGAGACATGGCGGACACAGCCTGTAGTCAAAAGAACACCAAGGCTCTGAGACCAAAGGCATGCTTCTGTGTTTCTCACCTCTCACACCAAGGGCCACACACGTAAAAGGCAAGAAAGAAGGGACAGGAGCAGTGGTTAGGACTGTACGCCAGGACTTTAGTATCTGCTGAATATCAGGCCATTTCTGTTTCTTAACTTTCACTATCTCTTTGATAGTTGTTTGATTTTCCAACCTGCAGCAGAGGGTGGGGTGTGGTTCAGAGGTAGAGCACGCACTCCCCAAATGACACGTGATGCCTGAGTCCAATCCACAGCACAAAAAAGAAGAATCGAAACCAAGAACTACATGATAAAGCTCAACTATTACTGAAATTCGTGAGTCTTAATAAGCCTTTCATTTAAATCTAATGAAAAAATTAAAGACAACTAACAGAACTGGAATAAAGTTTTCTTGGGGAAAATCTTATTATCATACAATAAAAAGCAGCATTTCCTGATATATCTCAGGGTGGGTGAAGCCAGCTTTGCTGAGTTATTTTTACCTAGTAAATGTCATCTTCGCCTCCCTGGTGCGCATCACCCTAGCTAATTAACCAATCCCAAATGCCAGGCTCCTCCTGGGAGGAGGTAATTGAGGGCTGCTCTTCTCAGCCTCCCCAGGACTATTGTTTTCTGCTTCACAGTTAGTGATTATCATGCATCCCTATCTGGCTTTAGAACCACAGGCTGTGTGGCCACGGGATCACCCCATCACGGAGCGGGAGAGAAGCAAGCGTTTACTTTTCGCGTCGCTCCAGTCCGGGGAGTTGGAGGGCAGCTTCCGCAGGTAGTCCTTCAGGAGCATCTCGTAGCGGGGGATCCGCTGCACGGGCTCCAGCATGTGGTGCTGCAGGGTCAGGCTCCCACAGATCTCCTGCTTCTGCAACAAGCAAGGATGTCCAGACACATTTCAAAATCAGGCTCAGAAGTAACCTCTCATGCAGGGCAAAAATTTGGCCCGAAGGGTGGCTATGCTTAAGTGCTTTAGACATACACATGGTGCCATCTTCTAAAACGCGCATTCCTGAACCCCAACCCAATCTACAAAATCATAGTTTTTGTAGAAGGCTAGAGAATAAGCACTTAAAAAAAAGAACCCACATTATTATAACATGAAAGTTTGAAGACCACTAACCTAGTGTAAGAATAGAAAGGAAAAATCAAGCAGAATTTTAAGCAAGAGAACACCAGGTCCCTGGCAATCACTTCAGTTCGCCACAGCTCGGGTTTGTGAAGGCACATTATCAGGAAACCATTCGGCAGATTTTCAAAAGATGCACCCATGTAATGAGGCTCCCCAGGCCTCACTCTATGAAATGACTCTGCACTTAGCAGAAACTATCTCATAATACGGTGCTCATAAATGTCATTTCCTCTGAACTGAAAGAAAGACTGCAGGTGGGAGAATGACGAGATCTGGGCATCTTGTTATCTGTCTGAGAATTTTACTTTTCTATTAGGTCCAGACATTCTTCTTCATTAGAGACCAAACTCCATCTCTCAGGCAAAATGAAGCCTGTATCACTGCTTTCAGTAAGCTGTTACAAGAAAGGAAAAACAAGACGTGCTGCCGTTCCTGTTACACAAAGCAGGCACCCCATTAAAATACTGGCTGAGCTCACACCAAGACCAAGGCACCGCATTAAGACAGGGTCTGCGTCCAAAGCACGCAAGCAATGGCAGGCTTCACAGGCAAGGGCACGTTCAGCGACAGCTCTGCTCAGTGCAGGCTTCGGTGGGAAGTGGGGGAAGCAGGGAGAAGGTGCAAGGTAGCAGTAGGAGACACGCGGGCTGCGCTGCCTGGGTAAATAAGATAAGCACCGGGGGGCCGGGGATATAGCTCAGTGGCATAAGCGCCTGCCTGGCAAGTGCAAGATCCAGAGTTCGATTCCTGGTACCGAAAAAAAAGAAAAAAAAAAGATAAGCATCAGGGTCCTGAGGATGAGAGGGAAAAAGGAACACACCTTAATAATGTCAGGGACCCCCAGAATCACACTGACTTTAGACGCTTTCTCTAACGCACCAGAGCAACAGCGTCAGATCTGAGCTGTAGCGAGGCCGACCTGCTACGCCATGGCTTTAGGGAGGGGATAGGGGACCGTTTGGAAGCTGCTGCTGTAGACAGGGGAATAAACTAGTAAAGGCCCAAAACGACCACGGAAGCTGAGGAAGCAACATGTACCTTCCCTCAATAACATGTAAGATGAACTTTACACATTTAATTACCTCATTTCATTTTCCCCAACAGACCTATTAAATCCGTATCTTCAGGAAAATATTACTAATACCAAACCTTTTATGCGAAGGAGCTACTTCTCAGGGACATCAGAAGCACTGCCTAAGGTCAAGTGACCACACTTGACGTGACAGATCAAGCTTGGCTCCTGGGTTCCTAGGCTGGTGCCCTCCCCAGCCCGAGGCATTTCTTTATTATATGGAGAAGACAGTGCGGAGCTTGATAAAACAGCACCGCCACCACCACCATCATTGTTTAGTGACTGCCCTGCAGCAAGCACTGTGCTAAGCAAGCACCTTCAACACACCGTCTTCCAGACAAGTGCACATACCCAGAGAACGAGAAAGCCAAGTATGATGACACACATCTGCAGTCCCAGCGCTCTAGGAGGCTGAGGCAGGAGGATCACAAGTTTAAGCCCATGCCTGGGGAACTTAGGGATTTAGCAATATCCTGTCAAAAAACATAAATGGGCTGGTGATGCAGCTCAGGGGTAGAAGGCCCCGGGTTCAATCCTCAGCACTGAAAAAGAAGAGGAGGAAGGGAAGGAGGAAGAGAAGACAGACCAAAGATAAAGCTCTGGTTAACGAGAGGACAATGGTGTTGTCTGACGTAGTCACGAGCCAGAATTATCACCTACTCTGGGAAGGCACGGAAAGTCAGATGGGAAAGTTCTTGGGAGGAAACACACACGTGGAACACGGTGACTCTGTCTTGACAAGGTCTTCTTCAGTGGGGCCTGGGGACGGGGGCCTTGCCTGCAGACACCCTCCCCGAGGCAGGTCTGGCGGGACAGCTGAGGCCACTGCTGAGGGCGGGAAACTGCGGAAGGCAAACCTTGGTCGGCCTGTGTGTCAGAGTCAGCAGGGAAAAGAGCCACAGAGGAGCCGGTGTTGAGCAAGGTCAACGTGTGTTTACTCCTGAGGGAAAAGAGATGCTACAAGAGTGAAGGGGACGGACAGGCCAGGTAAGGGCCCCGGCGAAGCCTCCCTCTACTAACGCAACTACCAAACTGGGTCAAACTGGCAGAACAACCCTTTCAGCATTTAGGATTGGATTGAGGGCGCACAATCTGAAGAGCACGTATGCTTTCAAAGCCTCGAGTGGGTGAAAACAGTGAGACGTGTGGTGCTCGGGCCTGGGGCTGACCCGGCCTCTCCGCCTTCATCAACACGGGGTTCTGCCCGGGCACATGGGCTGACACCCTGGGAGCTCCCCGCCGAGGTGGGGGAGGCGCCTTCACAACGGGGTGTGTGCGATGCACGCGGCCTGCAGCTGGCCATCAGCAGGGCCATGGCAGAGCAGGGCGCCAGGGAAGACCAGCAGAAGTCACAGCTGCACATGGGGAAGCGTGTCCTGGCTGAAATTAACAGTCATTTGGCTGCCCGACCCTGCATGTGGACAGGCCCTGCGAAAGGGCCCCGTGAACTTGAACTTGACCTGCTCTAAACCCACGGCCAGGAGGGAGCACCCCCGTGGGCGGCTGCCTGCCTCCTAACCGCCCAGGCACACAGGCAGTCCTTAGAAAGGAAGCTCACAAGTACACACAGGACCAGTCAGCAAACTCCCGAGTGCAGACAGCAGCAACTGTATGATATTAAATAGATTTAGTTTAAGCAAGTTAAAAAAAAAAAGTAAGAAAAACACAATGTAATCACAACCACTGTTTTTTTTTTTTTTTTTTTTTTTTTTTTTT